CGTTTCCGTGTTGAGTCGTTTCCGTGTTGAGGCGTTTCCATGTCACCGCCTCATCAATACTTGAATATAAATGTAGCATCAATTTTGGCAAGAAAAAAAAACAAAAAAATGTACCCTTAAACTAATAGATTCCTTCTCAATTAACTTAAAAATGTATGTACACGATATACTGTCGTAAAATAGTTTTAATTAAATCCATGTAAACAATTTTGTAAAATTAATATAATCTCGATACGGAGATAATAAATATCTAGATCTTAAAAAATAAAAAATTCCTGGATACGCCCCTGACGAATAAATGGTGTAAAATATTTCAAAGATCAAAAACGACCCTCATATCGACATGCTGCTGTGCTGTCATGTTTCGCCGGACACCCTGTAGCATATCCTACAGAGCGTCCCATATAATATTAGATTATATCCAATCTTTAACGCCAAAATACCAGGCGCGCAACTAGACATTTGGTTAGAGGGTGGCTAGGGGGAAAGATTTCGCGCGAAGCGCTAAAAATTTTTTGCCCCCCCTAATTATTTTTAGGGGGGGGGGGGCAAGAAAAATGTGTGTTATACTTAAACAATAAAAAACTAACCTTACCAACCGGATATTCAGTTATAAGTCAACACATCTGATATAAAATGAAACAAGAAATCTATTCTGGTCAGGGGCGGATACAGGGGGGGGGCGGGGGACATTCGACCCCCCCCCCTGAATTTGGAACTTTTTGTTCTTATTTCAGAATTTCTTCTCAATAGCATGCTTAATTCGGAAAGAAACCCTAGTGCAAAACAGGAAAAATATCTGTCTTTATAAACTATAATGTGTAAAAAGTTAAAAATCTAGTTTTTTAGTCTTTAGTCATTAATTTTCACTCTCAGGAAAAATATCTGTCTTTATAAACTATAATGTGTAAAAAGTTAAAAATCTAGTTTTTTAGTCTTTAGTCATTAATTTTCACTCTTTTTGAGTCTTTTAAGTCAAAAAAAAAGGGGCATGCCCCCCCTTAATCAGGCTAGGGGGGCCTGCCCCCCCCTAGTTGCGCGCCTGTAAAATACGCACATAATATTCACAAAACCTAGCATTTTCTGCAACATTTTTTTCTATTAGCCATATTAAATTTTTCAAAATGATTCATTTTTCTTAAATTTCCTGATTTGTCCCCCAAATCGTAATATAGACCCATTGACGCGGTCTAATTTTCTCCCAGACAGCTTCAAACTTCAAACTGCGACAGCTTGTTTCCAAAATAAACAATATCCGTGGCTTAGTTTGCCGCGTCTTTAAATATATAAACGTAAACAAAAATAAAAAACTTGGGATTTTTATTTTTATTAGGATTATCTCCGGATTATCCGCTGAGTCTGAGGTTCAAAGAATTCCTTCCTTTTTATTTTTGTAGAATTGAATTAAACAATTCGATAAATTACAAACTTTATACAGTAGGTGCAAACTAAAAAGAGGTAAAAAAAACATTGTTTATAATGTGATTTACAGATTCCAGAATGGATTTTGAGTTTGAGAACTTATCTTCTGAAGTTCTTTACCATAAAAGATCAGAGTTGCGACAAAAACTTCAGGGAAAAATAGATTTAAGGAGGAAATTAATAGGGTCGGTCCTAGTGAACCATTTTTGGACCCCCCAGGACCCCCAACCTATCAATTTTGTAAATTAATTACTATTTACTTTTTATTATTTTAGGGTTAGGTTAGGTTAAGACAATATCTGGGCCGACCGCTGCAGCTAGGACAGGTTAGTGGACCAGCGCTGCGGCTAGGATAGGACAGGATGGGGGAGGGGTCCAAAAATCGTTCTCTAGGAAATTACTTATTAATATTTAAATTTTTATTTCTTAAAAATAATTTGTTTGAATTCATTAAAAACTATTTTTCCTCGTTCAGAGCTTGATTGTTGAGGGGGAAGATAAACTTGTTTTAAAGCATGTTCTCCTTGATGTTCAAAATATGAAGGAGAAAATGGAGGATTTCTTACTCATCATTAAACAAAATAATCAAGTAGAATCAAGTGAACAAACTCTAAAGGCAGGCGGATTTTTCATTTATACTTTTGTTCTGTCTGATAAGGATTTTCCAAGTTATTGGATAAAATATGAATAAATCGACCAAACTAATTGAAAAAAGTTTCTTCACGTTTTTTCCCCGCTATGAATTATGAAGAAGTTTTCCCTTAAAATAGCCCCCACAACTAAATACGTCTCTGATCCCATTTAAAAAAATTAATATCTTCATTTTTGTTAAACTCAAAGAATATTTGATGTCTAAATTAATATATCCAACCTGTATGAAGGATATGTTGTTAAAAATAGGAAGAGAACAAGTAGTAATGATGAGTAGAGTTTATGCTCTAGGATTAGGTTGGTTACTCAATACAATACAAGATATACAGAGTTTTCTCGGATCTCCAGCTACCACTAAGATAGAGGTGAAGGAGTGTGATCAGGATATGAAGGTAGATATTGAAGATATTGAAGTTGTTCCTGAACTTGATCATCAATCTAATCAGCATCAGCTTAAGCAGGAGCAAGATAATTCAACACAAGGTATTTTTATTAATTTTTACATCTTAGAAAAGTCATATCATATAATATATGTACTCCACATGATGGGGAGTGAGGGATGCATTAATAAATTTAAATTCCACGTATGAATTTTAATGAATTTTGTTTTAGATGATGAGTTGGAAAAAATATCAGATATGTCGGATTTACATTGTAATCTATGTGAATATGTTGCCACACAACGAGGACATTTAAAACAACACAAACTGCATCGACATGAAGCCAGAACCTTCCAATGTGAACTCTGTGACCATGCTGCGCCAACAAAAAGAACTTTAAAGCAACACAAAGAAATCAAGCATGAAGGATTAAAGTTTCCTTGTGATCAATGCAACCTGTCTCCAAGCACCATGTCAAGCTTGTTACGACACAAGCGCAGAAAACATGTTCTGCATCGTTGTCTGGATTGCGGGTACAAGTGTCGGTCACTTCCTAACCTTTGGAAACATGCAAGGTTGGAACATGAACTAGATCTACGGCAAGATGAAGGATTATTATCAGCCAATAGGAATACTGATCTACCAGGGGAAGCTGAAAATACGAATGGATCTTTAACTGATGAAGAAAGGCTGAATGATGACATGGAAAGAGGTTTGTATTCGTTAGTATCTAGTATCATGATTTGTTGGACTTTCCAAAACATTTCTAAAGAGACTGTCAACGTAATTGTAATAAGTGTCCCCCCCCCCCCTCCCAGCCTGCATACATTTAATTAGTTCCATGTCTGTTTTGCAACTTAGCCTTTAAAGTATAAATTTCCTTATAGAGGCAACGCTCAGAAAAAAATGATATAGCCACAATAATAATAATCCAAAATCCAGAATCAAGCTCAGACCAAGCTCAGATATGGGTACCATTGTAAATCAGGCATAGAACTCTTTCAATAGGGGGATTCTTGAAACTATGCCGACAGTCACATTAAACCATCGTTAAATTGAAAAAGTAATAATTCAGGTTTTAATGTTATTTAGATGAGTGTAGAGACTTGTTTGAGAAGCACAACACTATTGAAATGGAAGATAAAAATGAGAAAGGTAAGGTTCTAAAACGACTTTTATCTCTAAAGCCAATTACAAAATCAGGTTTATTTCTTCTTTTCATGTGAAAAGTTTATTTTCAATTATTCACTTTTGAAACCTTACCAAGGACATAATTTGATAAATATGAATAATATCTATTCTAGGGGGTAAAGAAGGATTATCCTGTGATGAATGCAACTTTTGGACGCTAAATCCTCGAGCATTGAAAGATCATGTTGCAATCAATCATGATGGAATCCGATATTCCTGTGATAATTGTGATTATAAGGCTACAACAAAATCTTACTTGAAGAAGCACAAGCAAAGCAAACACGAAGGAATGAGGTATTCCTGTGATGATTGTGAATATTCTGCCACTAGTAAATATCTTCTAAAGGAACACAGTGAGCGTGATCACACTTTTAGCTCAAATAGAAGCAAAGACAAAGACCTCTACCAACCATCTGTCGGTAAGAAAAAATAACATTCTAAAAGAAACAAATTTTCTAACAAAATCTCTTTCTCTAGCTAAATACACCTTTGGCAGTTTATTTTAATTTTCAAAAGTGCTGTAAACGTAATTTCATGTGACCCTGCAAATATATAAAGGGAGGGTCAGTAGAAATAACCTCTAAAGTCCCTTTAAACTTTTTGATGAAAACATAACATTTATTTTTATTTTCCAGAAGATGTGAAAGTGGGTGAAAATCAAGAAACTAACACTTATTTATGCGATCAGTGTGACTTTACAACAACACATCTACGATATTTAAAAAGTCACACTGAAAACATGCATGAAGGTATACGGTATCCCTGTGATCAATGTAGTTATGAAGCGAGCAGGAAATTTTATCTGAAAGCTCATAAACGAAGTAAACACGAAGGAATAAATTATCAATGTGATCAATGTGAGTTTCAAACGGGAACAGTCTATTCTTTGAAAGGACACAAGGAAAGAAAACATAGTGATAACAAATACTTTTGTGATAGATGTGAATATGTTTCTACAAATATGGAAGATTTAAAGAGACATATAAGAAACAAACACGAAGGCGTTAAGTATCCCTGTGATAAATGTGATTTTGTGGGAAGCCAGGCAAGCAGCCTAAGTGTGCACCAGAAGAGTGTTCATAAAGCAATTAGATTTTCATGTGATAAATGTGAATATGTTTCAATATATAGCAGTACGTTGAAAAAACATATTGAAATTAAACATCTTGGAATACGACATCCGTGTGATCAATGTGAAAGTACATTTACCGAAATGAAGAATTTGCATCAACACTTAAAAAGAAAGCACAATTTATATCAAGTTAACAGTAATTAGAAAATATAACTATAGTTTTTTATACCAGTTAATAATATCATATTTACTTGTAATTAAGTCTTTTAAATATATACAAAATTACTTTGCCTAAACATGTTATGCCGAACTTTTCGTTGAAAACGTCCTAACTTTAACGCCAATAAATGGATAACACAGCCATACTTCAGGAATGTGACTAAAAATCTTATGAAATTCATTTTCATATTTGTACTAAAAATATTTTTTGAACAATTTTATGTTATGGAAAAAAAGAAAAGCATTAAACCAGTTTTTTGTAATTTGACAGAATTTCAGTGACTGTAAAATCTTGGAGATAAACCATTTTTATGAAGTATTAATAATAAGCCAATATCTTGGAGGAGGAAGGGGGGGGGGAGGAAGATCTAGATTTTACAAATTTTTAATTTAAATTTCAGATAAATATTCTTTTATGGTTTTTCCCTTTGTTGAAAAGCATGAATGAAATGAATAGATGGATAGATGAAAAGATGGAAGGAAGGTGGATAGATGAACAGATGGAAGGAAGGTGAATAGATGGATAGATGAAAAGATGGAAGGAAGGTGAATAGATGCGACAGATAGATGAGAAGATGGAAATAGGATGAATTGATGACCAGATAGATGAATAGACCTGGATAGATAGATGAAAAGGTGGATAGACTAAATGATGAATATTTATAGATAAAAACTGCTTTAAATGATGGAATGCAAAAAAGAAAGTAAAATGTTGAAATTTTCGCTTGAAGTTTTAACCTTGGAGAGATTAAAAAAGCAAATTCAATTAAGCCGACATGAAGTACGTTTGCTAGCTAACCTTGAAAGAAATGATTTTTCCTCAATTTTAATTTCAAGAATTTAAGTCCATTCATTAAAACATGCAGTACAGTTATAAAACTGCAATGTTTCCATCAGAAATGTGTACATAAGTACTGTAGTACTGTTACACATGGTTTGATTAAAATATGGCGGGAAATTTTGTTAAACAGCTCTTGACTACTAGGGTCATTAAACATCACAACTTCAAGTTTATTAGAAGGGAGAATTCATGAAGATAAATTTTCAAACAGCCCTTCCTTCCTAAACCTATTAACAACAAAAAATGCAAAACTACTAAGTATTTAACAAATTTTGGATACTTTTTACCGAAGAATATTTTTACTTTTTTCACAAAAAGATCTCTTTATCACTTATTTATCTAAAACTTGCAGTTTGGAAAATTTTACCAATTTTTTATTATTCTAGGGGGGGGGGGGAACTGAGGGGGATGCCCCCTAAGGCTCTCGGCAACCTTTTTAGGGTCAAGCAACATATCATACCCTAGCAGTGATAGTTTTATTTCAAGGTGTTAAAAATAATATTTTAGCAAACCTTTGATCTTAAGATTGAGAAGTAAAGCAAAACATTCCTTCAATGATTCGTTTATATGCTTGTTAGCCAACACACAAAACACTGAGCAAAAAGTAATTAACAAAATAGAAAACGTCTCCTAAATCCAATTCAAATTGAGACTCAAAATACTTGACATCAAACGTTCTTTTCTCTCAATTTTAAATTTGAATCCAGTTAGGATTCAACTGTTCTCATTCTAGTATGACTGCAGGAGACTTCAAACCTGTACAGTGTACAGTGTACAGTCTACGTATATCTTTGTATGTATGGTCCAAAAACAAATTTTTCAAAATCTTCGATACTTGTTTAAAAAAAACAAGCACTGCAGATAATCGAATGCTTCAAAAGATTTCCACAATTGGATTTGTCTGGTCTAAAACCAGAAACCGTCTTGAAGTTCAGAGTGACAAGGTTGATTACTTTGATTCAATCAATATTTTTTTCTAATAACTCAATATTCGAACAATATTAATTTGTTAAGATCTTTGGTTTTAGTCTTAAAAAATGAATAAATATGTCAGTTTTAGTGCTGTAAACTCCTAAAACTCAATACAGTTGATAGTAGACCTTATTTCTTGAAGACTTCTTCATTATAAGAGTGAAGAAAAGGCAATGATAAAAAAATTCTAAACAAAAAAAGCCCACTTTCAGGTGGATTTTTTAAGTGGGTTTTATTGGGTCTTTATTTTTTTAGGACTGGGTTTTTTATGCCAACCCTGTATAAAGGATTAGTATCTATGTATAAAGGATCAGTATGTATTAAGGATCAGTTTTTAAGAATAAAGGATCAGCGTAAATAAAGGATTAGTATCTATGTATAAAGGATCAGTATATATTAAGGATCAGTATTTATGAATAAAGGATCAGTGTAAATTAAGGATTAGTATCTATGTATAAAGGATCAGTATTTATGAATAAAGTATCAGCGTAAATAAAGGACTAGTATCTATATATAAAGGATCAGTATATATTAAGGATCAGTATTTATGAACAAAGGATTAGTATCTATGTATAAAGGATCAGTATATATTAAGGATCAGTATTTATGAATAAAGGATCAGCGTAAATAAAGGATTAGTATCTTTGCATAAAGGATCAGCATATAATAATGATTAATAAGTATGTATAAAAGATCAACATATATAAAAGTGTAATATCTATGTATAAAGGATTAGTAAATATGTATAAAGGATCAGTTTATATAAAGGATTTGTATATATGTATAAAGGGTCAGCATAAATTAAGGATCAATATGTAAGTATAAAGGGTCAGCATAAATTAAGGATCAATATGTAAGTATAAAGGGTCAGCATAAATTAAGGATCAATATGTAAGTATAAAGGGTCAGCATAAATTAAGGATCAATATGTAAGTATAAAGGGTCAGCATAAATTAAGGATCAGTATTTATGAATAAAGGATCAGCATATATTCAGGACTAGTATCTATGTATAAAGGATCAGAATATATAAGGGATCAATATGTATGTATGAAGGATTATCATATATTAAGGACTAGTATTTATGTAAAAAGGATCAGCATATATAAAGGATCAATATGTATGTTTTAAGGTCAAGGATAAGCATACATAAAGGATTAGTATCTATGTATAGACGGATCAGAATATATGAAGGATTAGCATATATAAAGGATTTGTTTCAATCAGCTCATATAAAGGATAAGTATGTATGTGTATGTAGAATCATCATATGTAAAGGATTTGTATCTACTAGCTGAAGTAGCTGAAGTGCCCGGCATTTCTCGTGAAATTTTAAAAACTCTGCCTTTGTTACCCCTCGGGTACCAATGTGTTTCCTCAAAAAATGTCAACCTATTTGGAACAGCTGTATGGCCAGCTATAGGTAACATATATACAAATATATATATGAGCGAAGAGCTTTATTACATGGATAGATGAAGATAATAAACTGGAAAGCTCGTAAAGGCAAATGTTGGTAAAGAAGAGTATATTAGCAAAATCAGCGGAAATATATTGATGGGAGAAATCTAGGATTAGCCCGAGCAGTTGAATAAGGCAAGGGTACGAGAATCATTCATCAGTTCAAAATAAAAAATTCAGCTTTGAAAAATGAAATTTATTCCTAACAGTCAATTCTACTTTTCTGAAACACATTAAGAAAAATTTATTATTAAAAAGCATCGAGTCCCTTGAATTTATACAAAATCACAAAGCTTCTCCAAAATGTTGGCATCGTTATAATCCGTTTTTTAGATATTTAAGGTTTTTGGGCTTTTACAAATATATAATTGAAATTGAATTGAAATTAAAATTTTCTAGATGTCTTTTTAAATCTTGTACATACCAATTCTACTCTGACAGAAGATATGCCTGAGTCAAGAAACTATCTTGTTTTAAATATTGATTATATATATATACTTTGCTTGTCTGTCTGATAGGGCACAAATTTTGTGTGGGACCTCACATGACCCCTGGGAAGGGTGACCAAAATTTCAAAAATTCGCCTCCAAAATTCGATTTTCATAAAATTTTGTAAAACTATGGTTTTTTTAATCCGCGAAAATTTGGTTTGTTATTGTTTTACAATGTATACAAAGAGAAAATGATCACAATTGAAATCAAACAAAGCGTAGTACTAGTATTTATAAAATGTGGGGTTACTTTATACTGTAAAGAAATAAAAATTTAGTTTAATTTAATTTTTTTATATGAAATATTCAACAATGTTTTAGTGAAAATAAAATGTTGAATCAGTGTTAGGAATCCTCGAGCATAAAATATATTTAAGGTAAACTATTTGCATAAAAAAATTGTTCACTAAAATATTTAAAATAAAACAGCTTTGTATCTCGTACAAAACAAAGCTTTCAAATCACAACCCCATATTGAGTTATGAATCACATCCACATGTAAAACATTATGAATCTCTGCAACATATTGCGGTATGGATCACCACAACATCTGGGCCTATAAATCTACATGAACCTGTATCAATTATGAATTAAAACCACATATGGTGTTATGAATCACAATTACATAAAAAATTATGAATCACAACAATATACATGAACCATTATTTATCACATCAACACAAGGACTTATGAATCACAACCACATACTGAGGTATGAATCAAAACCATGTATGAATTACTACCCCATCTGCAGGGTATAAATCATAACAACATAGGAGATGTTTAAACCACAACTTCATAAATCATTATTAACCTCTACCACATATGGAGTTATGAATCACAACCACATCTGAAGGTATAAATCACAACAGCATAAAACATTATTAATCGCAACCTCAGTTATGAATCACAACCACATATTTAGTTATGAATCACAACCACATATGTAGTTATGAATCACAACTACATCTGGAATTATGAATTACAACCACACATGGAGTTATGAATCACAACCACATATGTAGCTATGAATCACAACTACATCTGGAGTTATGAATTACAACCACACATGGAGTTATGAATCACAACTACAAATGGAGTCATGAATACATACATCTAAAGTTGTGAATTACAACTACATATGGAGTCATGAATCACATCCACATATTGAGGTATAAATCACAACCAGGTATAGAGTTATGAATCACAACTACATATTGAGGTATAAATCACAACCAGGTATAGAGTTATACATCTAAAGTTGTGAATTACAACTACATATGGAGTCATGAATCACATCCACATATTGAGGTATAAATCACAACCAGGTATAGAGTTATGAATCACAACTACATATTGAGGTATAAATCACAACCAGGTAT